TGCGTATACTCGGATATGTAAATTAGAATGGCGGACACAACACAGAGCCATGCTCTACTGAGCAAGAGATGTGAAACAAGAATCTTAGTTTCCTCTTTAAAAAATGATTCAGTGTAAAAAAAAAAAAAAAAAATAGGTTGAATTTTGAAATGTCATCCCCTTCATATAATAGGGTTGTTTAAGTCTAAATCGCTTTGACACACTGGTACCCCTAGCTATTTGAAAAAATAGAGATGTACACCTTTTTTACCTGATAGAATTCAAGTTGTTCAAAGAGGGAAAAATACCCAAAGATTCGCTTTTAAAACTAATTAAACTTATAAATATGAGATGAGGGAGGCAAAAGGTTCTTGGGATACTTCCTTGAGAAAAAGTGTTTTTATTATTATCTAATTTCTAGTTTGACATTTTCTTCCCCTTTCCCTTGAAAATTTTTTTCTATATAAGGTTGCATGTCTTTTTTTTTTTATGTGAGAATAAAAAAAAAATCCGTAAATTAACTAAAGATGATCTGAAGATGAAGCTAAAAAAAATTTAAATAATCCATAACATTTGAAGGTTCTTAACAAACAGGATCATTCCTGGGTACATGAACACAAACGATAAAGGCATAAATTATGTAATTTTATATAAATTTCACGCACTGTTCAAAGCACCAAAAAAGTGGTTTATGACATTTGTAACACAATGAACTTGATATCGTGTCACGTGTTACAATGCAGCCAGATTTATCAAGAAATATCTTTAAAAAAATAACCTTATTGAAAATAGAGATATTCGTTAAATTAAAACAGTGAAAGATTGGATGAGAAACTCCTTTAATAAAAAAAAAAATATGAGTGGCCTCTTTTTCAGTTGGTGGGTTGAGAAAGAGCACACAAATCTTTTTCTTTTTTAAAAAAGATAAACAAAGCATCATTTTTAATGATGGCAGAGACGGCAACTTAGAATAATTTGCCGTCACGACAAAGCAAGACTGGAGAAAGAATGAAACTTTAATTCAGTCACATTTTGTCTGATGTTATCTGATTTCTTATTATAATATATCCGGTACGTTCTTTATAGCATGTTTTCTTGCATATTCATAAGACAAATAGAATTCTCCTATTAAAAAAAAACTGGATTTTTATATCAATTATAATTTTGATAGTGTATATTTGCATTAAAAATTGCATGTGAAAGATTAAAATATATTTTCTAAACGTAGTAAGTATTTAATAGAGCAAAGGTATATTGAAAATATACAAACATAAACAATTATAAATATGTTTCAAATAACAATGTATTATGTGTATTGCGATAATGCCATAATAATCAACACATAGACATTTCTTGTTTGATTCTGTGAAGTACCTTCCATTGCTTTTTCCCTAGACATTATTGTACCATGTTAATAGAAGTGTCGTCTTTTTATTGGCATAAAGATATATACGAGGGTTGCCCCACAAAAACAGGGAAACAGTTTCATGATAATAACACATTGAATACGATACTAATGCAAAAATTAAGAAGATATATAAGCTTACATCGGCGCACAAAGGCAAGAATAATTTATGTCTCTTATAACGTCATAATCATTTTAAAGTACTGTCCCGTGGACTTACCACGCAAAAAAGCATCTCATTTATTTTTTTAACTGAAAAAAAAACAACTTGACTGGGGGCCTCACAAAAAATAACCACTGTCAATTTCTATCACCCAATTCAAATTACAGTCCTCAATTGTAGCCTTATATTGTAGAAAGTAGAAAATATACAATGTTAGATATCAATCATGATCCATAACGATCGTCACCGTCTGAATTTATCAAACAGCACTATTTTTCATATGTCTTTTTTCGGTAGGAGGTGAAAACTGTACTTGAATCACTTCGGCCATATATAAACAACTTCTCTACTACCGTTCTTGTAGGTAATGCCACTTCTCTATCTTTTATCTAACTTTCAAACTGGCAAACCACATATTAAACAATTTTATTACATCCCCGTGCGCCGCTAACGCATTTGATGACGTCATTCTCAGCAAACTTAATTCCAAAAACATTTCTTACTAATGAAGATAAATGTTAAGTTAACAACTTCATCTTTGACCAAGTCATATAATTTGGTGAAAAGAGGAAAAATGTAACAAAACGGTAATGATAAAAAATAAATAAAGTTAGGGACATTCTGTGCATCTGTATAATGTTTGGCTCTTTTTTTACCCCTATTGGTTTTTTTTAATTTACCAATTTAATTTATCTGAAATAAGAAATTAAAGATATCATATCTCATTCTCAATTTGCACGAATGATACGAAAACAAACATAATAAGGGTTAAACAAATTAAGTTTTACAAGGATGTTTATATTTGAGGGGGATTGCACAATCCAATTATTACAGACAAATGTTTAGTTAAAATCCTTATGGGGTATTTTTGTAAAAAAGAAAAAGGCGAAGAACATATAATAAGCGTATTTTTTTCTGCCTAAGCACTTAATGTCCCTCTTTTATTTTATTCTATGTTATTTTTAAAATCTCAATCATCAACAAACAAACATATCTTGAAAAGGTATCCCTGTTATCTGGCTATTATGAGTCACACTCCTCAGTTTGGAAAACTTGAAAATATGTCTGTTACAATTTGTAGTGTGCAAGATAAAGCTCTTATTTGTCACTATAATTATTTTGTTAAAATATGATAGCATTATGTATTAAAAAAGGAATGAAATTAGTTTGCTTACATATATCTTGTCCCATCAAAAGATGATTAACACTGTCCAGGTATATTTTTTTCATACACTTTGACTATTAAGCTGGCCTCTCCTAAAGTGTACGTCTATTTTATAGAAAGACACCTTTTCAGTTTATCTGTTTCCATCTCTGAAAAATTGTCCAGTGGATTTTTCATACACTTTGACTATCAAGCTGACTTCTTCTAACATATTTTTGAGAAAGACACTTTTTTCAGTTTATTTATTTGCGTCTCCGGAAAATGATCTCTCTCGGCGTCTTTGTGTACCTCTAAATTACACTGGGGTACACAATAAAAAGTGATGCTCTACTGAGCACGAGGTGTTGAACAAGAAAAAAAAATCTAGTTCATTATTCATTTTTTTTTTAAAAAAAAGAAAATTATATCACTGTGGAAAATACAGTGACATTTAAAACCCCTCAAGCAGTGCTTTCACACTGATACAACGGCAACAAAATTCATTTTCAAAATGAGATTTTTTTTAATATTTAAGGTGTTAAAACAGTGTTTAATGCACTAAAATATTTCTTTAAAAATTTGATGTATAGAATATTGTACTGATGATAAATACCACTGGGGAAAATTACAAAGCAAAATTCTTTTTCCAATAAAAAATGCATATTAATAACAACTGATGTTAACAATTAACCTTTTCTGGAAATTTATATAGAAATGCGGCCACCTCTGTGTATCTTTTTGCAATAGAAAGAAAGAACCTACCGATCTTAATGATATTTTTCATAAGTAATGATTAAGAAGTCTAATCATACAAAAAAGATTTTAAATTTAACAAATTGACGATAACGTGATAAAACATGCATATAATAACATATCTTTTAGTTTGCAAGTGCTACTCTGTCAATTACAAACCAATGCATGCATTTATTATATAGCGTATAAATAATTAATCATCTAAAATCTATAGGATTTCAGCGTTCGATATCATGCAATTCATTGAGATGTGTTTGTTGTATTTCGTAATTCAATAACTCCAATGTAAACAAATTTGATTATTCAATATACGAAAAATAGCGGGGTCTCTTTTCAGAAGAGATTGCAGAGTTATACAATATTTCTTTTAAAGGAATGATCGACATAGGATCATAAAATTAACGTTATAATATATGTAGATATTCTTTTTTTATTATTTTGATTACCTTAGTTTAATTTTGTATGGGTATTTATATACATACATTTAATTTTACATATATTTAATTTCACCACTGAGTATGACCTGTAAAGGATAGCCCCATTAATTAAGCGTCATCGTAGGTATCATGGTGTGTAAGGTATAGCTAAGTGATGTGTCAACCACTTTGTTATATCATATTAACATTGCAAATTGAAATACATATAAACTGAAACTGGTGAGATTTTAAATATCTTTATCAACGTTAATATGCTGAAAGTCCCCAATGCTAATAATTTATTCGGAAACACCACTGAACGAATTAATTTCTTTATTAAGGAATGTGTACTTCAAAATGAAATTCTTACGCATTTAAAGAAAAATGTAAGTTTAATCCCCATGTAACTGAATAAACTTCTGCATCTCGATGGTAAATGCAAATAATACTCGTTAGTACTAAACAGGTTCTGAAAGATTTACATGTCGGTGCATAGTTTGTTTGTTTGTTTGTTGTTTAACGTCCCTCTTTAGAATTTTCACTCATATGGAGACGCCACCACTTGCTGGTGGATGGCTGCAATTTTGACCTTTACTCGGCACTCAGGGACATTGAGCAGTGATGGATCTTTTCGTGCCTGCACTTATTGCAACACGGGACTTCGGTTAATACGGACTCATCCAAAGGACCGATCTCTACGTGGAATTCGAACCCACGAGGTAATGATCAACTCCTTACATCGCGACTCTAGAGCAAACGCTCTAACCTATGCGCCACGCGGGCGACGGTGCATAGCAAACACAGTAGTAAACAAAGAAGTGCAAGGCGTAATGTGTGAGCAAAGTGTTAAATCTGCAGGTTTCCTCATATGGAATCATCTGTGATCGGCTGGTAATTCTCATGAAATTTGATTCTTGTTTACATTATATAAAACAACTCAAATACGAAAATGTTTTACCTTTCTTATAAAAGAGTATTAAAACCCACTGGAAGCTTGTGTATTTGTACTGCCAAGTCGTGCCTATCATCACCAATATAAGTGAGATAACCCTATATTAATCACCTTCTGTTTCCACTACATAGTAGGATTGTAATATATCTAGCATAAATGAATATATTAGAACATGCTGTTTCATAAAAGGCTTTAATACTTTGCTTTTTTCAAACTACACTTTCCCATGTTATGACACAGAGTTTCTGCAAAAAGCTTTCTTTTTTGGAAAAGTCATACCTATATATATCTCCTCGTCTTACTGCATAAAATACATATTACTCACTTCCTAAAATAAATTTCCAAAAATATTGTTTCAGTATAAAGAGAAACCAGATACCAGTAGAGTCACATTTTCTTACAACGGTGCTAATTAGATGTTTGGTTTGGTTTGAACATATTGAGCCCTCTCCACAATCATGCTAATTAGATATACATCTCTATGGGAAACACCTAATATTCATATGTATGAGGATCATCAATGAATTTTTATAGGTATCTATTGTTACTCCTTGTTTAAATTGTATTGTCGGCAATATCAGTAAATTTATTCACATAGCATCGCAACTGGTTATTGATAAGAAACAATTCTCCTACACAACTGTCGATTTTACACAGTTTCATACGGACTGGTATTTTGGTGACCTTGGTGCACTTCATTCAAATGATTAGGTAACAGTAATGTATTTTCGGAAGTATTGTCGTGGTTGCCATGGCGATCGATGCTCCGCTTCCGCTTTCCAATTTTCGTTTTCTTTATTCTTTCCAAAAACTTTGGCTCTAAACTTCTTGCTTCCCTTGCCAGATGTTCCTCATCCGGGTCCAGGTCACGTGACAGAAAAGCAACAGATGTTCGATAATTCTGCCCAAACTTGTATGGCGCACGCGCAATAAAGTGAGAGAGTGTTGTGAATCTGTGCACCAACATGCAGAGAAATTGAAGAACAAACAGAAATCCAAATACAATCAGGAACACTAAACCTAAAAAAAGAAAAAAAAGATGTGAAAAATAATGTTTGTCGAGAAAGGCAAAAGCTCGGAAACATCGGTTCTTTTTATTTAATTACATGATGAACATATTTAGTATATTATCAATTTTGATGAAAAAAAATGCAAATAAAGATTAAGCATTCTGAACATAAGAAGTTGATCAAAATATTTGAAAATGATCAGGTTCCATTTCCTGAAGATAACAAAAATTATAAAAACAACCAAAGCCACCCCCGATTCTAAGTGAAAATGCTCTTCTACAGTCTTTGATAATTCTAGATGAACAGCTTATTCCTGTCCAGAGATCATTTACTTACTGAGTGGATTTGTCCCTGTCACGTGTAGGTCTATATATTACTTACTGAGTGGATTTGTCCCAGTCACGTGTAGGTCTAGATACTGCTTACTGAATGGATTTGTCCCAGTGTAGGTCTATATACTACTTATTGAGTGGATTTGTCCCAGTGTAGGTCTATATACTGCTTACTGAGTGGATTTCTCCCAGTGTAGGTCTATATACTACTAACTGAGTGGATTTGTCCCAATGTAGGTCTATATACTACGTACTGAGTGGATTTGTCTCAGTGTAGGTCTATATACTACATACTGAGTGGATTTGTCCCAGTGTAGGTCTATATACTACTTATTGAGTGGATTTGTCTCAGTGTAGGTCTATATACTACATAATGAGTGGATTTGTCCCACTGTAGGTCTATATACTACATACTGAGTGGATTTGTCCCAGTGTAGGTCTATATACTACATACTGAGTGGATTTGTCTCAGTGTAGGTCTATATACTACATACTGAGTGGATTTGTCCCAGTGTAGGTCTATATATTACTTATTGAGTGGATTTGTCCTAGTGTAGGTCTATATACTACATACTGAGTGGATTTGTCCCACTGTAGGTCTATATACTACATACTGAGTGGATTTGTCTCAGTGTAGGTCTATATACTACATAATGAGTGGATTTGTCCCACTGTAGGTCTATATACTACATACTGAGTGGATTTGTCCCAATGTAGGTCTATATACTACATAATGAGTGGATTTGTCCCACTGTAGGTCTATATACTACATACTGAGTGGATTTGTCCCAGTGTAGGTCTATATATTACTTATTGAGTGGATTTGTCCCAGTGTAGGTCTATATACTACTACTGAGTGGATTTGTCTGAGTGTAGGTCTATATACTACTACTGAGTGGATTTGTCTGAGTGTAGGTCTATATACTACTAACTGAGTGGATTTGTCCCAGTGTAGGTCTATATACTACGTACTGAGTGGATTTGTCCCAGTGTAGGTCTATATACTAAGTACTGAGTGGATTTGTCCCAGTGTAGGTCTATATACTACATACTGAGTGGATTTGTCCCAGTGTAGGTCTATATACTACGTACTGAGTGGATTTGTCTCAGTGTAGCTTTATATAGTACTTAATGAGTGGATTTGTCTCAGTGTAGCTCTATATACTACGTACTGAGTGGATTTGTCCCTGTGTAGGTCTATATACTACGTACTGAGTGGATATGTCCCAGTGTAGGTCTATATAATACTCACTGAGTGGATTTGTCCCAGTGTAGGTCTATATATTACTTATTGAGTGGATTTGTCCCAGTGTAGGTCTATATACTACTTATTGAGTGGATTTGTCCCAGTGTAGGTCTATATATTACTTATTGAGTGGATTTGTCCCAGTGTAGGTCTATATAGTACTTATTGAGTGGATTTGTCCCAGTGTAGGTCTATATACTACTTATTGAGTGGATTTGTCCCAGTGTAGGTCTATATATTACTTATTGAGTGGATTTGTCCCAGTGTAGGTCTATATACTACTAACTGAGTGGATTTGTCCCAGTGTAGGTCTATATACTACGTACTGAGTGGATTTGTCCTAGTGTAGGTCTATATACTACATACTGAGTGGATTTGTCCCAGTGTAGGTCTATATACTACTTATTGAGTGGATTTGTCTCAGTGTAGGTCTATATACTACTACTGAGTGGATTTGTCTGAGTGTAGGTCTATATACTACTACTGAGTGGATTTGTCTGAGTGTAGGTCTATATACTACTACTGAGTGGATTTGTCTGAGTGTAGGTCTATATACTACTAACTGAGTGGATTTGTCCCAGTGTAGGTCTATATACTACGTACTGAGTGGATTTGTCCCAGTGTAGGTCTATATACTAAGTACTGAGTGGATTTGTCCCAGTGTAGGTCTATATACTACATACTGAGTGGATTTGTCCCAGTGTAGGTCTATATATTACTTATTGAGTGGATTTGTCCTAGTGTAGGTCTATATACTACATACTGAGTGGATTTGTCCCACTGTAGGTCTATATACTACATACTGAGTGGATTTGTCTCAGTGTAGGTCTATATACTACATAATGAGTGGATTTGTCCCACTGTAGGTCTATATACTACATACTGAGTGGATTTGTCCCAGTGTAGGTCTATATACTACATAATGAGTGGATTTGTCCCACTGTAGGTCTATATACTACATACTGAGTGGATTTGTCCCAGTGTAGGTCTATATATTACTTATTGAGTGGATTTGTCCCAGTGTAGGTCTATATACTACTACTGAGTGGATTTGTCTGAGTGTAGGTCTATATACTACTACTGAGTGGATTTGTCTGAGTGTAGGTCTATATACTACTAACTGAGTGGATTTGTCCCAGTGTAGGTCTATATACTACGTACTGAGTGGATTTGTCCCAGTGTAGGTCTATATACTAAGTACTGAGTGGATTTGTCCCAGTGTAGGTCTATATACTACATACTGAGTGGATTTGTCCCAGTGTAGGTCTATATACTACGTACTGAGTGGATTTGTCTCAGTGTAGCTTTATATAGTACTTAATGAGTGGATTTGTCTCAGTGTAGCTCTATATACTACGTACTGAGTGGATTTGTCCCTGTGTAGGTCTATATACTACGTACTGAGTGGATATGTCCCAGTGTAGGTCTATATAATACTCACTGAGTGGATTTGTCCCAGTGTAGGTCTATATATTACTTATTGAGTGGATTTGTCCCAGTGTAGGTCTATATACTACTTATTGAGTGGATTTGTCCCAGTGTAGGTCTATATATTACTTATTGAGTGGATTTGTCCCAGTGTAGGTCTATATAGTACTTATTGAGTGGATTTGTCCCAGTGTAGGTCTATATACTACTTATTGAGTGGATTTGTCCCAGTGTAGGTCTATATATTACTTATTGAGTGGATTTGTCCCAGTGTAGGTCTATATACTACTAACTGAGTGGATTTGTCCCAGTGTAGGTCTATATACTACGTACTGAGTGGATTTGTCCTAGTGTAGGTCTATATACTACATACTGAGTGGATTTGTCCCAGTGTAGGTCTATATACTACTTATTGAGTGGATTTGTCTCAGTGTAGGTCTATATACTACTACTGAGTGGATTTGTCTGAGTGTAGGTCTATATACTACTACTGAGTGGATTTGTCTGAGTGTAGGTCTATATACTACTACTGAGTGGATTTGTCTGAGTGTAGGTCTATATACTACTAACTGAGTGGATTTGTCCCAGTGTAGGTCTATATACTACGTACTGAGTGGATTTGTCCCAGTGTAGGTCTATATACTAAGTACTGAGTGGATTTGTCCCAGTGTAGGTCTATATACTACATACTGAGTGGATTTGTCCCAGTGTAGGTCTATATACTACGTACTGAGTGGATTTGTCTCAGTGTAGCTTTATATAGTACTTAATGAGTGGATTTGTCTCAGTGTAGCTCTATATACTACGTACTGAGTGGATTTGTCCCAGTGTAGGTCTATATACTACGTACTGAGTGGATATGTCCCAGTGTAGGTCTATATAATACTCACTGAGTGGATTTGTCCCAGTGTAGGTCTATATATTACTTATTGAGTGGATTTGTCCCAGTGTAGGTCTATATACTACTTATTGAGTGGATTTGTCCCAGTGTAGGTCTATATATTACTTATTGAGTGGATTTGTCCCAGTGTAGGTCTATATAGTACTTATTGAGTGGATTTGTCCCAGTGTAGGTCTATATACTACTTATTGAGTGGATTTGTCTCAGTGTAGGTCTATATATTACTTATTGAGTGGATTTGTCCCAGTGTAGGTCTATATAGTACTTACTGAGTGGATTTGTCCCAGTGTAGGTCTATATACTACTTATTGAGTGGATTTGTCCCAGTGTAGGTCTATATACTACGTATTGAGTGGATTTGTCCCAGTGTAGGTCTATATATTACTTATTGAGTGGATTTGTCCCAGTGTAGGTCTATATAGTACTTACTTAGTGGATTTGTCTCAGTGTGGGTCTATATAATACTTACTGAGTGGATTTGTCCCAGTGTAGGTCTATATACTACTAACTGAGTGGATTTGTCCCAGTGTAGGTCTATATACTACTTATTGAGTGGATTTGTCCCAGTGTAGGTCTATATACTACTTATTGAGTGGATTTGTCCAAGTGTAGGTCTATTTACTACTTATTGAGTGGATTTGTCTCAGTGTAGGTCTATATTTTACTTATTGAGTGGATTTGTCCCAGTGGAGGTCTATATAGTACTTACTGACTGGATTTGTCCCAGTGTAGGTCTATATACTACTTATTGAGTGGATTTGTCCCAGTGTAGGTCTATATACTACTTATTGAGTGGATTTGTCCCAGTGTAGGTCTATATAATACTCACTGAGTGGATTTGTCCCAGTGTAGGTCTATATAGTACTTACTGAGTGGATTTGTCCCAGTGTAGGTCTATATAGTACTTACTGAGTGGATTTGTCCCAGTGTAGGTCTATATAGTACTTACTGAGTGGATTTGTCCCAGTGTAGGTCTATATACTACATACAGAGTGGATTTGTCCCAGTGTAGGTCTATATATTACTTACTGAGTGGATCTGTCCCAGTGTAGGTCTATATATTACTTACTGAGTGGATTTGTCCCAGTGTAGGTCTATATACTACATACTGAGTGGATTTGTCCCAGTGTAGGTCTATATACTACTTACAGAGTGGATTTGTCCCAGTGTAGGTCTACATACTACTTACAGAGTGGATTTGTCCCAGTGTAGGTCTATATACTACTTAATGAGTGGATTTGTCCCAGTCACGTGTAGGTCTATATATTACTTACTGAGTGGATCTGTCCCAGTGTAGGTCTATATATTACTTACTGAGTGGATCTGTCCCAGTGTAGGTCTATATACTACATACTGAGTGGATTTGTCCCAGTGTAGGTCTATATACTACTTACAGAGTGGATTTGTCCCAGTGTAGGTCTACATACTACTTACAGAGTGGATTTGTCCCAGTGTAGGTCTATATACTACTTAATGAGTGGATTTGTCCCAGTCACGTGTAGGTCTATATATTACTTTCTGAGTGGATTTGTCCCAGTGTAGGTCTATATACTACTTACTCAGTGGATTTGTCCCGGCCACCTGTAGGTCTATACTACTTGATAACGTCATTATTATCACAATCCACAAACAGTTGACGATCCCGGATACCATCAGCCACTCGTTACGTAGAGTCTCTAGTTTTGCTACAAATAATAAATGTATAATCAGTGACCTATCTGTACTTATCTTTTATCCTTCCAAAGAAATAATTATTCACTAATTTGAATGTAATGTATTCATAAAAAATTTGATTATGGTGGCTAGACAATTTTTAAGAATCTATTTTTATTTATTGATAAGGAAATAAATTATACATACATGAGATGTGAAACAAAATCATAATTTGATCGTAGTTCAAAGTTAATAACTATATTTATGTTTTCCTTTTAAATACAATTTAGGCGTTCAAACAGTTATAGATAACACTTTCAAAATAATCTACATATACCAATACATTTTTTTTTAAATCAGCCGATTTCAAGAACTTTTAAATCCCTTTTATTGTTAAAATAAGATGAGAAGTTTTCTATGAATTATTCGAAAAGGAAAGACAGTATTTATGTTTAAATTCTAAAACATAACTTTAACATTCAAGTAAACATGTATTGAAAAGTTTTTGGTAGGATTTCAAGACGATGGGCTCAAATTTGGTGAGACCAGTCGACTGAGAATATTGACTCCAACAAGGCACCTGATCCCATCTCTGAGGTTTTCAGAAGTGCGGTTGACTTTAAATAACGAATACTGTTATTCATCCATCTTCATTAACTGTTTCTTAAATGGTCTCAAATGTCTTGAAATGATTTTCTTATTGAAAAAAAAATTGGTTTGACTTTAAAATAAAAAATGAATTTTATTCCTGCTTATCGGTGGTAGTTTAAGAAAGAATGATTTTCTTTTAAAATGTAAGCAAAGAAAGGTTTAAGAAATAAATTATTTTCAATATGGAAAATTCACAAAGTCTGATGAATTTTGATCTTCTTAAAAGTATATTTACTTTTGAGAATTTGCTCAAAACCAAACACGTCAGCAGAGGGCGCTAAACACGCCTCAATTAGATCCGCCCAGAACTTGTACTCCTCCTGGTTCACGCTCCTTAGGTCGTGTTGGTAGGCCCGACCGATCTGCTCCTTAATTTCTGTAATGATCCGCTCCTCTGCAATAGTAGAAAGAAAGATATGTTATGATCCGCTCCTCTGCAATAGCAGAGAGAAAGTTATGTTATGATCCGCTCCTCTGCAATAGCAGAGAGAAAGTTATGTTATGCTCCGCTCCTCTGCAACAGCAGAGAGAAAGTTATGTTATGATCCGCTCCTCTGCAATAGCAGAAAGAAAGTTATGTTATGACTCGCATCTATAATTTTGATTTGATTTGAATATATTTTATTGTAATTCATAATTACAAAGGGATTAAGCACAAGTTCTGAAAACTTATTACGTCCTCTCTCTAATCATCTATCATAACACATACACGTTTTCTTGTATAAAGAGAATACCTGTACGAAATGCGACAGGTGTACATGTGCGCATACAAAATACTGTGTACTAACAGATTGTGTACTAACAGATTGTGTTCTAACAAATGTCAAATTACATCTTCCCTAAACAATGCCCTAAAGAGAGAGGCATTTTGTTTTTCTATATAATTTAAGATATAACTATTTTGGTATGAGAAAATCTGCGAAAAGATTTTTTTTTTGTTTTTTTCATACAAATGTCAGAGAAATACTTTCTACTTATCTATATTACTTTACCCGGTGTTGGATTGCGAAGGCAGTCTATGGCGTCAAGTAAACGTTTTATATGACCTGAAAGTATGTAAAACTGACATAAGAATCCTACCTGAAAGTGTATAAAACAGACATAGTTATCTTACTTGCATTAAAAGGTAACAAATTCTCATATTCATTTCAACAAGACCTTTTGGCATATAAAGAAACCTAATGCTTTCATATTTGTTGAAGTCGCCTTTATTTACTCCTACATGTACATAACATTCACTTTAGGAGCAGCCCAACAATTGCTGCAACTCTATCTCCCATTCAAGTCCTTATTTTCTCTTACTCTTTTTCGCCCAAAATATACAGAATTCATTTATATCCACCGAATAAAACCTTAAGCTAAGGCATATTATTTATTTTGATGCATTTGAAATTTGATATCTTAACACAAAAGATGTAATGGAATACCTAGCAGAACAGTCTATCAAAATCCCGGAGAATGCATGTTCATTTACTAACAAAAATTCATCTGCCCTCTCCAATCAACATCATTGTTTGTTTTTTTAAAATAACTCATCCATATATAATTTACGTATATTCATATATTCATGCATGCAAACATTGTTGAAAAAAAACATTGATGAACAGTTTATTTCAAAACACAATATAATTGTATTATGCGGATAAAAGTCAATTCATTATAAATATATACCGGGTTTTGTTATTTTAAGGTCCTCCTTAATTTCTTTTTCTGTAAACGATTTCAGGGCTACCATATCTTTGACTGTTTTAATTTGGTTTCTATTGAAATTGTGTTTGTATTCCTCCAAACCAATCATGTGAAGCCATGATGACACGTCTTTCTGAAAGAAAAATATTTTTTGGCTTTCAACCACAATGATATTAACGTTTTTCCTCTATCACAAAAATAAATGAACCTTAAATCCTGTCCTGATTATAACACTCAATATTTTTCCGTTTTCAAAAGTTTTGCATTAATGAAATATCAAAATTTCATATGAGAACACACCGGAACATCGATAGGAATTTTAAATTCTGGAATATCCTGGATTTTCCGGTACAGTTTCTGGCGATGAGCCACTTTCTCAATCCCTATTCGCTTAAGGTCCTTCTCGGTTAACATCCCTAGAAAGTTTGTATTCTCATATCCCTTATCCATAAAGAGAGATTTGTACTCCTGAATAAAACAAAATAAAATATCTAAATCAGCATCATCTGAATGAACGGTAAAACAAAACTCAGGTTTAACCAGATCTGACATTTTCTAAGAACATACTTCACGTCGATGCAGTTTTAATCGTTTAATACAATAATTTTAAAATCGATGAAAATCAAAACCAGTTTTAACTAAAAATTACTACAAATCATAACAAAAATTCCTCACATAAGCAAAAAAGCTAAAGCAATGGCTTAGTTTTCATAAAAATTACTTAAAAAGATGGAATTTTTTCTTGTCTTCTGTTAGAGTTGAAAGAAGAGTAAATCCAACACAGGGCATCTATACCTTCATGCCTTTTGGGAGCCATGTTTCAACAGGAAGAGGATTATCTTCATCAAACTCTTCTTCACTTTCTATCTCTTCTACTTCATATTCTTAAATGTAAAAAAAAAAATCAAAATACGACAATAAATATCTCAAACAAAAAGAGTGGTACAAAAGGATTAATAACTTTAAATAAATTATGCAATTAAAAATAACAACTTGCATTTATTAAAAAGTGATCCATAGGAACTTGTTTATCTCATTTAGAAGAAATTGGCATGTTTCAAGTGGATAAGTCTGTATTTCAAAATATTAAACACAAATTTAAATCGGGTTTGTTATTCCAAATAAGGTGTTAACGCCAAAACATGTCTATTATATATATATATATATTTTTTTTTTTTTTTTTTACCTATATCCTCCTTCTCTTCAAGCTGATGAAGTCTCTCATCCTTGTCTTGACTTCTTCCCTGATCTCTCCGTAGAGATTGGACTGGGACATTGCCTACAAATAAATCGTTATGAAAATGTGAAAGGAACGGACTGTCAAAATTTATATAAAACAGGTTAATCAGGGTTCTCCATTGCCTACAAATAATACGATATGAACAAAACGAAAAGTCAACATTTATATAAAATATGGAATTGATGATTTCAAAACGTTTCTGTCAAATTTGATATAGAATGTATTTCACAATTTAGTTCATTAAAGAAAAATAAGAAGTAAAAGGTTTCAAATGGTTTTAACTAAGAAAGATAGGATTAACATCTAAAATATTTGACTATTAAAAACATTCCGTTAATTTCAATGTCCTCTGATTTATATAGAAAGATTAATACCAAAATGTAAGAATTCTAGCATTACCATCAAATCTAAATCCTGGACCAACAGTCTTAGAAAAATTTTGTGGAGATGAGTCCTCATTTTGAGAATTCCTTCGAGGTACTCGGGGTAAGTATGTGCTTTTTTCGGTTATTGTTTCTTTAGTCGAGGTTTCTTTCTTGTCAAAACAGCTGTATCAGATACAAAAATACAAATATATAAGATTAGAACTGATTTCTCTCAATCATCAGAAGTCAAATTGCCATTTACTATGAGATTTCTTGGTTTCACTTACAAGAATATTTTCCTCATGACTGTCTCCATGTCGTCATACCACGGCTTGTCCTTTTTCACAGTGTTGTGTTCTTTTTCCTCTCTTGTTCCTGTTAATTCATATAAAGCGAATTATTTCATTATGACGTGTTACAATACAAGCAAAAATGCAAAAGAGTAAAAAAAAAAATCTTTATTATTTTATTAAAGTGGCCTATGGCGACACTATGTTTTAAGCGTTTTTCACGGGACCGAAAAAGTGTCCCAAATTGATAACTTACGTCGCTAACGAGGGAACATTATTAAACATTTTTCTCCCTATACTAAAATTCTTTAAAATTCCTGTACGTTATAGCTGCAGGAAACGCCCTAAAACAATAATTGATCGATTCTCGTTCACGGCGAAGCTTCCAACTTAAGAGGTAAATATATGTGTCGTTCCTTCGCCAGGCGCCTGGTACTACAAGAGAAAGTCAAGGTCTTTCAGATGAGACCTTAAAAACCGAAATCCCGATCATGGTAGGCGTTGGCATGATAAAGACCCCTCACTGCTACGGTTTTAAGTGCAATACATAGGTCATAAATTGACGCCAATCATCAGCAAACGGTAACGTCTCTATATGAGTGAAAATTATCGAATGGGACGTTAGACAACATACAATCAATCAATTAACGGTAATGTACATTTGTTGCACAGTTTTGTAGCCACTGGGCACAGGATGACACCTGGTTAGTAAATTTCATACCCGGCTCGGCTTGGATTCCCAAGGTATTAATTTCACTAACCAGGTATTATCCATTCTTTTTCACAACAAACCCACATGTATGTAACTAAAAATACAAATCTAACCACGTCATATGATGTGATGTTCAATACAAAGCCTAGACGGGTGTATATGTTGAAGTCACAGAAAATGTTCAATACATCCTCATGACCGGTAAGTGATGCTAACAATAGTGAAAATCTTCTATACAAACCCCACGATCTGTCTGTGATGTTCACCACGCTGTAGATGTTCAGCACCAGGTACCCGGATGGTAAACAGAGCAGATACGTGATTCCATTCAAGAGACATGTAAATTCTGACGGGTGAAATGCTCCGGTGACGAGGAATATAGCGATTAAAAGACCCAGATACAACGTCACAAACGACACAGGAAAATCATCACTGATGGCTAAAAATAAAGTATTTAAAGTTTTTTACCCTCATAGCAGTTTTTTGTTATTCAAAATGTATTGAGAAGGAAGTAAAATCAGAAATCAGAAATTCCTCGAGGAAAAATCGATTTCTTTCTCAATTTCTGTATGTACAACAGTAGTTAGAGCTATCCAGATTCAGAAATATGAATGTCTAGAACAATAAAAAGGGCTTTGCAAGGTTGCATGCAAGACTAAACAGTTTGTTTTTAGCTTGATAAAGATAATATACACGGAGGTCGTTGTTTCCAAATTGTACTGAAACCATACGGTACCTCCTGGCACAACAGTGGGTTCTACAGTAACGGTTTTGTTGTCCTTAGTTTCGACCTTGACCTTGTCATTAAAGCCAATCATGTCCTCAGCCACCTGCTCTGCTATCCCGACCACGACCGCTGTCATAACAACCGCGTACAGGAAAGTAATGATCTTACCAGACTGCAACAAACGACATTTAATCAAATATAAATATCAAAAAAAAAAAAAATCAATAAAGGCTTTTTTTTACCTTCAAGGAGTATGCGGAGCTTTTTAAGACATAAAATCAATTTATCAATGTCCAAAATCTCTGATTTTATTCTGAAAAGTTTCAACAATTATTTTAAAACAAAGGGACAAAAAAATAAGCATATTCTTAGAATTCATAACAACCTCCTTCATATCTAGAAACTGAGACAATGAAAATATCTACCTGCATTTGCCATCTTTCATTCTTGAACAGACAAATTAGGGCATAAATCACACAGACTGCAATTTGTAGTACCACCGCCCAAACCACGTCAAAATTCCATGCGTAATTCAAGCCACCTTCATAGAAAAAGGACACGTGCATATTTTGTTTATAAACCTTGAAGACCGTTCTATTTAGCCAAAAAGTTAAAAGATAAACAATAATCTGCATGCAACGCTGCATTTCTTAATAAGGACAATATTTAAAAATGTGATATGAAAATAATCAGAGGGTTGGAACCTGTGAATGAAGACAAAATATAAAGATGAAGTTTATCATGATAATAATGTTTGTGATGATGAGACTTGATGATGTTGCCAATATATCAAATGATGAAAATACATGCAAGTCATTTCATTCATCCAATTATAGCCTGAAATTCTGTCAAATTCAATCTGAAAAGAAATATTTTTGTGGGTTTAGATGAAATGAAATCGAAATTTAAGAAATTCGTGAAGAATTTTAAAGAGGCACCCTTTTATGATCCTAATCAAAACAGGGCGTAAAAAATCAAAATGTCATCATGTATGTTAATACGTTAACAATGATGTTGATAAACATCTAGATGTTAAATAAATTATCATTTATTTAAGGAATGCTTTTAAGTTTTGTGTGCGTTTTTGGTGTGTAAATCACACAGACTTGTGTCTGCGCTTCATGAAAATTATGCCTACGTGCAAGTCTGTGTGATTTACACACCAAAAACGCACACAAAACTTAAAAGCATTCCTTATATTTATATTTTACATGTTCAAAAGCACCATAAATATACTCAATGTTTGAATTTCTCGCTGCCCTATATCGTCATTTTTTTTATTAACGTCTCTGTAGTTCATTGTGACGTCTCTGTAGTTCATTGTGACGTCACTTTAGCGCGAGTTTCTCCGTGCATATTTCTACGCGTGAGTATACACAGAAATGACATTCAAATCAATTTTACAGTTGGCTTAGTAGAAAAACAGCAAATGTAAATATATGAAAGTAAAGATGATGATGTATTTTGTTGAAGAGGATGTTGAATGATGATGCTGTAAATGGAAATGTTACTAATTAAAATCATGGTGATGATATTTTTGATTAATTAATACTGACATACCGGCTACTATAATGATGACAGTACTGGGTCCTATGAATGTCGAAGTAAGGAGGAATATCTGATAGATACAGAAGAGATAGGACACGCGGTGGTTCAGTAAACGAATCAGGTTCCATTCTTTGATTAGAGAGATAATGTTAGCTAGGGTAGAGGCGATCCACCTTCTCCTCTGTTTATAAAACTCCTCAAACTCCTCAGGGCAGTAGGTTTCATTCTCTGAAGCTGCGCAGTACTCGATCCGCCAACCACTCTGCACCTAAAATACTCATCAAAATTATAGATCCGTCACCCACTTAGTACCTAAATTATACATCAAAATTCGAGATCCGCCAACCATTTTGTACATGATATACACATCAAAATTATGCATCCGCCACCCACTCTGTACGTAAAATACAAATCAAAATTTTAGACCCCCTCCTAATAGATTCGAGCTCCTTAGCAGATATCGCTTAAAACAATGTCGCTCAATACTTGGACCAATACACAAAATACTTCCGAATACACATTAAATTATTTAGTTTGCAATAAGATTCGAAAACTCTTCAAAATAATACTTCTGTGTGTAATTTTCTAGCCCGAACATGTAAACATATTTTTTTTGTATCTAAATGTACAGGAAGGCAGGCTAAGCAGTGTCCCATATATGTAACTCTTACCATAAGTGTACACAACCATCGATCCTCTCCCATATCTTTGATGAGGAAATCAAATGCTCTCTCTACACTAGACGCGTAAGTGGGAACTATGTCCTTAATGGCGGAACATCGATAGACGCTGAAACAGCCAGGGGCACAAAGAACGGACCCTAAAACGTGTTCAGCGGCCTAAAATATCATTAAACCAAAGATCCTTCAACGTTATCAACAATAAAACAATTCAGCAAATGAAAATAATACTAGTGTTGTTCAAATAATTAATGGTTGTAACGCGTTAAGTGTATTTGATTGGATAAAAAATAGTTAATATCGTATGCCCTGTGATTCCTATGTAATAATCTGACTTGTGACAAAAATGTATCAATCCGCCTAAATTGTTTTGTTATAGTAGAAAATATAAAAACAAGAAATGAATTTAAAAGCAATCCAATTAACAGAAGAACAATATGGGTAAGTACATTTATTTTTTTCATAAATATAAACCACTGTGTAGTTTTCAAAATATAATCTGCCCCAACCATGGTTATTCTCCTAAAACTGTGGCAGCTTTTATATTTCTCCCTTTATTGGACAACGTAGATAATACAAAAAAAGAAGAAGAAATCATAAAGTTTATATGATAAAGTAAGGCTGGAATGGGTTTCTAATATGATAACTAAATTTTCATGTACAGAAAAACACCTTTTGAAACCAATGTCCAATGGCATATTCGAATTTTTGATACCACACAAGCGGCCCTTCTCCTAGTGGATAGGTGCGCGCGCATACAGCTCCGACAGAAGAGTCCCGTTTCATCAGATCAAGCAAAGCCTCGACGGATTCCGGTGTAAACTTGACGTCAGCATCCGTTGTTAGAATGTAGCAGTCTGACTCGCTTACTGAAAACAAAACATTTACGACAGATCTGTTAAATGATTCATGTTGACTGAGAGTAGAAGGTTAATTGTTCATGGTAAGTCATATGCTGAGTAATAGGGTTAAGAATTTTAAAATTTTATTATGATGAGCAAACTTTAGCTTGTGGCAAAACTTGACTAGCAAATCTGATCTGATTTAGCATTTTTAGAGATTGTTTAATAATAGTAGATTAAAACTCGAGTCCAATGCACTAAAAACCAGCAGGTGAACATTATGATTCTCCCTTACATGTACGTGCAATTTATTTACAGATTTAATTCTGCCTCTTGTTTCATCTCTCTATCCACTTTTTTTATTAATTGGACCAAAAACTTACCCATGATATTTCTTATTCTGTGTGTTTAATTATAGTAAAGCAAACTACCCATAGGATTTTTATCTCTACCCAACTCCGCCTAGTATAACATTCATAGGACAGCTTCTTACTTGAAGGATTAACGTTTCTATTTTTTTTTTAAATTCACAGATATGGGGAAAAACGGTAGGATTTTCTTCTCTAACCATGTTTTTCTTATTTAAGGCACACTTATCTGTAGGATTTCCCTCTCTATCTACGTGTTGTTTATTTATAGTACATCACACTTATCTGTAGGATTTCCCTCTCTGTCTACGTGTTGTTTATTTATAGTACATCACACTTACCTGTAGGATTTCCCTCTCTATCTACGTGTTATTTATTTATAGGACATCACACTTACCTGTAGGATTTCCCTCTCTGTCTACGTGTTGTTTATTTATAGTACATCACACTTACCTGTAGGATTTCCCTCTCTATCTACGTGTTGTTTATTTATAGTACATCACACTTACCTGTAGGATTTCCCTCTCTATCTACGTGTTGTTTATTTATAGTACATCACACTTACCTGTAGGATTTCCCTCTCTGTCTACGTGTTGTTTATTTATAGTACATCACACTTACCTGTAGGATTTCCCTCTCTGTCTACGTGTTGTTTATTTATAGTACATCACACTTACCTGTAGGATTTCCCTCTCTATCTACGTGTTATTTATTTATAGGACATCACACTTACCTGTAGGATTTCCCTCTCTGTCTACGTGTTGTTTATTTATAGTACATCACACTTACCTGTAGGATTTCCCTCTCTATCTACGTGTTGTTTATTTATAGTACATCACACTTACCTGTAGGATTTCCCTCTCTATCTACGTGTTGTTTATTTATAGTACATCACACTTACCTGTAGGATTTCCCTCTCTGTCTACGTGTTGTTTATTTATAGTACATCACACTTACCTGTAGGATTTCCCTCTCTATCTACGTGTTATTTATTTATAGGACATCACACTTACCTGTAGGATTTCCCTCTCCATCTATATGTTACTATATATCTTACTTGTAGGATTTCCTTTTCTGTCTACGTGTTATTTATTTATAGGACATCACACTTACCTGTAGGACTACCCTCCCTATCTACGTATTGTCTATTTATAGGACATCACACTTACCTGTAGGATTACCCTCTCTATCTACGTGTTGTTTACTGAGAAAATCCAGTACATATGACATGTACATAATCTGACTCCATCGCTTCTTCTTTTTCACCTAAAAACAAACAACTTTTAAGTCGACAGAAACTTTGGCACTGAGAATCATTTTACAAAGATTTTAGTTTACTTTTATATAAGCTTCAAGAACATTTCTGGAGTGATAATGAAAGTAAAAAAATAATATAAAATATAAACATACACAGTCATAATATCAAATGCACATAACCATTTATAAACTATATTATAATATAGTAATTATTAAAAACACCCGAATGTAAGAGAAATACTAGCATATTGTTAAGCAAAGTATTATTTTTTTGTCTCAAACCGCAAAGAAAGACAAACAGAATACTCCATCAATTGTCCCAAAAATATCAACTAGCCAGACAGACAGATGCCAGAAACATCGACATAGCATCATAATGCATTGAAGAGAACAAACAGCTACAGAAAACTTGCTTTCAATTATATCGATAAAATACCTCGAGAGAAGAATGATTTCAAAATCTTTGAATTATGTCTTCTTTACGAAACTTTTGCTTACTTTTTTTGGATCTTTCATATGAATGGTGAAGGTCATTTCTGACGGCCCCGGTAGTTTCCAGCCGAGCTTTAATCCGTAAGGTGTCGCTGTCTTCGTACAGGTCAGAAGGTTATCGATATCTACCAACAGAAAAAGGAAAGTCTTATGAACATATTTTGAAAATAGAGTCCCCAATATACTGTGAAGCATTTAGCTTTGTTTAGATAGAATATCTTCATTTTAGAATCATTCCAGCACCCTCCCCTCTCTTTCTCTATTTATCTCTCTTTCTCTTAGTCCGTCTTGCAATAGACTGGCAAGTCGTAGGGCTTAGTGCGTCATTTCGTCCCCTTTGATCTCTCTCTCACTCTCTTACTTAGTGCGTCTTTCAACAGGCGGCGTGGTGCGTCATTTCGATCCCTTTAATCTCTCTCTCTCTCTCTTAGTGCGTCCTTCAGTAGACTGACTAGTTGTAGAGCGTAGTCTGTCATCTCTCTCTCTCTCTCTCTCTCTCTCTCTCTTGCTTAGTGCGTCCTTCAGTAAGCTGACTAATTGTAGAGCGTAGTCTGTCATCGCTTTCTCTCTCTCTCTTACTTAGTGCGTCCTTCAGTAGACTGACTAGTTGTAGAGCGTAGTCCGTCATCTCGTCCCCTTTGATGGCCCCATCCAGGAAGACGTGAGATTCGAAGTGAATCTGCGACTTGTCTGACGTAGCCTGACTGATCTTCCCTATAGACTCCAGCAGTTGTTGCATTTCTTTTCGACTCTATAAAAATCAAAGTACTGAAAGTACTTAAGGCTGTTCAATTTAGTGATGTGATTGCAACTTCAGGTTAAGGATCAACAGAGAAGGAAAAACACTTTTCCATAGTTGTTTCATTTTAGTACACAAGTAAAAAGGGCATTGCGATTTTTATTTTTATTTATTTTTTATTTATTTTTTTTTATGAGTTTTTCAAAGTACAAGAACCATAACTGCATTAAAAACGAACATTCATATCACCAGAATTACAAATATTTAATGCATGATATGGAAGTCCTTTTCTCCAAGAGAGGGAACTTTATTTAAAAAAAACTAATTCCTGACTGTTTTAAACTCTTACACAACCTCAAAAGTAATTCGACTGATAAACCGTTATGTCGGGAAATGTTTGATTAAGTACAATTTCTATGATATTTTCTTAAATAAAGGACCGCTGTTCCAATTTGCTATTGTTCCAGCTCTCTATTAATACTGTAGATCTTTTTTTTTCTAATTGTACAATATGTATATCACTTTTCCATGATACCTGAAAGTGGAAACTTAAAGGTCTTGTATTTTGAAAATATGAAAGGAAAAGTTCCGAACATGCATAGTGACCATAAAAGCTGTGATGTGCGTAAATAAATAGCCTTACCTCTCTATACATGGTTGTACATATATAAACTCGCGTTTTCTCGCTATTTCTCGTTGATGTCTCGCTGGTATCCACTCCTGAGTCATCGTTGAGTTTCCGGTTAACCAGTAGCCATTGTTCTAACATAACACTGTTGTATGTCGGGTACCAAAACAACTGGAACAAATGATTTACGTGCTATGTCATGTACATACAGAAACAGATGAACGTTCATGTCCACAATAAAAATCATATCTTCATTTTGTCTATATATTTTTTTCTTTTTAAAACTAATAGATTACAAATTCCGACATTGGCCTACTGTTGCTATCAATAAAAACTCATTCCCGTTCGTTCTTTTCTGTCCTCTTAAAATAGCAAAAGTCCGGCTGTAGATTTTATCTCTTTTATCATTTTTTAGATCAATTATATTCATATATTTACACTCCTGACATAAAAGTGATTCGTCAACCCATCTTTGTTTTCATATCAAGCCTTTATTTGATTTTCATATTCTCAATCGCATGAAGATATTTTAAACGAAAATGATGATTAATTAGATGATAGTGGTAAAATGGAGATGCTGTCAATGAAATACGATGTCGACAAAAACAACTCAGAAGATGATGATGATGATGATGTTGATGTTGTTGATGATGATGATGATGTTGATGTTGATGATGATGATGATGATGATGATGATGATGATGGTGATGTTGATGATGATGATGATGATGATGTTGATGATGATGATGTTGATGTTGATGATGGTGATGATGATGTTGATGTTGATGATGGTGATGATGATGATGATGATGATGATGGTGATGTTGATGATGATGATGATGATGATGTTGATGATGATGATGTTGATGTTGATGATGATGATGATGATGAGGTTCATTGCTTTCTACCTGTGTCTCCTTTAGTAAGACAATTTTCCTGATATTCCATAGCAGTCGTCCAAATGTGAGAGAAATCGCAATAAAAAAGCACACCATCGCCAGTATGCTATATATCAGATAATTTTCTTTTACACAGAAATCTTGGGAATGACCCGAGAAGCCCTTAATCCAGTCACATGATACCGGAACGGAAAGTAAGAGAGCTGATACAGGGGACGATAACAGCAGAGGTATTACGAAGGCCCCACGATCCATGCAGGTGTGACAGGCAAATACTGCGGTAACGTATCCCACAATGCTTGTTGTAGCGTTGACTATAAATAGAATAAAAACTTCATTAGATGGACTCCAACTCCATCCCTGTGTCCAACTGTCATCAAAGTTGAAATCGTCCATTGCAAACTTTAGAAGTAAGGCACTCGTAGCTAAAACGAAGACTATTCGTGAAAAGGCAGATATAAGCAGAACTTTCCATGCTGACGTCTTATCTACAGGAAGGTCGTTAGATAAGTCGGGCTCGACATTTCTGTTATTGCCAATGTTACTTGCCATTGAACTGTATGAAGTAAAGTCCGAACCCGATGATATACCTTGAAGAGATGCAGATGAATTTGTTCGATTGATAGAGCTGAGCGAAAAATTTTGAGCATTTTTATTAGTATGAGTCTGCGTTGGGGTCTGCACATGGGGAAACATTTTCTTATTTAAGTACGGGAACCATGATAAAAATATAAGAACATAACCGCCGAGAGACCACGCTGTATCTGACGCCTTGCTCACATGTGTTAGGATAACAAGTGACACACCACCAATGGCGAATAAAACAGCAATAAAAGAAACCGAGCGGAAGAATTTGATTTCACGATTGCCCTTCTTCATGTAGTAAAAGATAGGGATAATGATTCCAATTTCCATCGCACTGACTCCAGAAGCAGTCTGTCCGGTGTTCAAAGCCTTAAAGATCACAATACATAATCCAACGGATTCCAAGGCCGCCGATGTGACACCCTAGAGGATGAGAAAGTAAGAATAGTGATTGATGTTCATTCTTTTAGTTTTATTCCAAATAGATATTTCAAGACATTTTCTAACAAACTAGCTCATCATTGATTCTGATACTACATGTAGTCACTAGGTGTATTTGTTTATGTCATACTTCTGAAGGATTTCTGTTAAAAAAAACAATATTTTATTGGACAGGCCATCCCTCTTGGACATTATCCCATGTTTTAAGGCTCAGGTTACATAATTTACAGTAAACCTTGCTTATAAGGTTTCAATTCCTTACATCTATTTTATATTCACATAAAATTATCCAACTCATATTGAATGTGAGGAAGACGTATATTTCTTTAATTTTTTGTTCAATGAAGATGAACATGATGAAATGATTATAAATTCGACCACAAGACTTGCCGGACTAATATATATACACCATTTTAAAAGAGTGATTAATTGTTTAAATGTTTTTGGTTAACGACTTTTATCAAGTGATCAAATCCTGAGGTCAAATGCTTCTAAGTATGATGACACACCAGGAAAATTCACATTTTCGTTGCACTCCTTTAATGAACATTTACAGGGATAAGCAGCTAAATATATACTTGTATACTTTGTGACAATCTTGGACGCAGAATAGTTAATTAGAGAAACTCTTTCCCACAAAAGCCGTTTGAAATTTAATTGCAGTACACGGTATCTGCAATGGGGAACTATTCACATTTTCAGAAAACAATATTTTCTTTGATGTTTTGGACACAATGATAATGACTTTTTTTTTTATAAAATCAAATCATTTATCTTTAGTTCTGTACTCCTCTTAACAATTAACTGGACGGGTGCAAGTTGGACGAATTTTGAAATTCTAATCTTTGGGCTGATTTGACAAGGACCTAAAATGTACAATATAGATCCTAATTTCGTAGAAGCAGGAGTTGATAATTATAATTTATTTTTTTAGGTGACATTTAACTACACTATTTTTTATCATTATATATATTTCTTTCTTATATGTATTATTACGAAATAGAATAGATACCATTTGCTTGTATACATTAGACTTGTTCTAATTAACTACGGTATATCTACTGTATGCTTCCTTACATGTATATAAAATTGTACTTTTTTATCCTATAATTGTGTAATCACCTAAATGTTAGCAGAACGTACATTAAGAAAAACTAGAACGCCTTACCAGAGCTATAACTTTCTTGTTTGGCCACGGAATGTCACTCCGACCAATAATATTCCACAGAGACCTTAAAACAGATATCACATTTGGCGCCAAAAGTATAATTAAACACATAGTGAAGGCATGATATTGAGAAGCACTGTTGTTACTAAGATGTTGGGCTAGACCAATCACAGTTAGTTTACTGGTCACGAGACAGGATAACAAGACCGCAGCAAATGTTAAAGTTGTAAGCCATTTGAGGATTACAACTATTCTGGACGGTCCCTGTGATTGAATGCCTTTTTTGGTACTTCTCTCAATTTTTGACTCTTTTTTCACGCTGAGGTAGGAAAGGTCAACCTCGACCGTCTCTTTTGGATGTGTTTCTTCGGGTGACGTCATACTGTACTGTCCGCCGTGCTCAGTCCTCTCATCGACTGGGGGAAGGGAACTAGAGTATTTCAAAACCGCTGAACCAGTCTAAAAAAAAGTATATTGATATTCTACTCCTAAATATGAATGTTTTAAATGAATCTATTATCTACTGGTTAAGACTTTATCTGGAGTAAGAAATATAATATAACCTAAGACACGTTGTAATGTTTGCTACAAAAAGATCTACGCAAGAATTTCATACTTTATTTTATATTTCAGGGACTACAAGAGATGATTTTCATGTACATTGTTTTGTTGTTTTGTTTTTGTTTTTTCTAATCGCAGACTTTGTGCACACATGTAACATTTGTACATTACACAATTACACAGTGTTTATATATATATATATATATATATATATATATATATATATATATATATATATATATATATATATATATATATATATATATATATATATATATATATATATATATATATATTCAGTGTTTATATATATATATATATATATATATATATATATATATATATATATATATATATATATATATATATATATATATATATATATATATATATATATATATATATATATACTTTGCAATGTGAAATCATTTGCTTCATTAGAAGGGGTGATCCTGAAATTATGATTGGTATGGGAAATGGAGTATTTCATTTTTAGCCCCCAACAGGACAGAATGTTTATTTCCATGATGATCATACAATATTTATTTCACTGAAATATGTTTACCCCCCCCCCCTTCCCAGCCCCATTTATAAAGTGTTAGAGTTAGGTACGACCTGTCCCTATCATAATCTTAATTCTTTCGTGCCAAGAGGCACACAAGGCCGGTACCCCTTGTGAAGGTCATTTCATTGCCAGTAGATGACATTTTACTTTTTTAAAACATTTTTC